CGATGTAATCGGACTTAGCGAGACGAAGAGGAAGGAATCGCTAACATGCACGTGGATGGATGGAACGGCAGTATATCTAGGAGCCCGCAAGCACAATTCAACTTCAGGAGGCGTTGGATTCATCGTGTCACCAGATTTCTGCAAACATGTACGAAGTGTCACGTTCTACGGTCACCGTTTCGCCTTGCTTAGCGCCAGTATCTCCAAAGATATACGTCGCCATTATACAAGTATACGCGCCCACAGCGGATTGCGAGGAAGAAGAACACAACGACTTTACGATCAACTCGAAGAGCTTGTACACAGCCAGAAAGGCTATGTAGTAGTGATGGCGATTTTAAAGCCCGAGTCAAATCGCGGAAGGTGGGTGTATTATTCATCGATCCTCATTCTGCTGATCAACGAAGCAGGAGAAAGGCTTGTTTCGAATCGCACCATCTCTTCCATGGCAACAGTCAGTTTCTCAAAGCGGCTTCCAAAAGATGGACCCACGTGTCTCCGAATGGGCAGCACTTTCATGAAATCGACCATATACTGTGCAATAGAAGAGCCGCAACAGATGTCGCCGTCGTTCCCTCCTTCAACACGGGAAGCGACCATCGCCTTTTGCGAGCGAGATTTCACTTTCGATCGAGACCTAACGCGTGCGTTCAAGGCAACCATGCCCCTGGACAGTGTTGAATGCGGAATTGGCGGCAGGATCTTGCGAGCATGGAACCATTACCAATGATGGATGATATTGACGAAGATTACCGACGTCTCGTTGAAACAGTGGAAAAGCTTGCAGAACGCTGTCGTGGCGTTGTCCCGAACCACACCACTCGTATATCGCCTTCTACTCGTGCGCTGCTGGAAAAATGAAGGAATCTCGATCGCCCGAAAATCACTTACAATGGAGGTCTTTCAGGTCGGTGCGCTTTTTGGAAATGGTTTGTTGCATGTTGTAGGGGTCCATATAAGGGTCACAAAAATGGGTTTCGTTTTTGCTATGCGTTTATGGGAATGCCAAAAAATGAGTGAAAACAATTTGACAAGAAAGGGCGATTTTAACCGTCTTATTGGGCTCTGTTGTAGCTGTAACTTTGAGAGTGCATAGTTTATGAGGTGTTCCTTACTATGTATCGAAAAGAGAGCAAAATAAAGTCAAAAAGAAAGTGCATGGAGAGAGGTAGTGTTGAAGTTACTTCAATGTTTCCCGCAGAAGTGCTTCCATGGTCGACGGATGGCGCAGTGGGTACTGCGATGGGCTCTTGAACCGCGACGTCGTTTGTGGATCGGATCCGCTTGGGAGCTAGTTCTTGCACTTTCTGGATTTCCGTCTCCTTGTGTTCCTACGTGCGTGATGATGATATATAAGGAATATATGCCATTTAAGAGCTCATTCTATACACTAATAGTTCACGAGTCGACCCTACTTAACTATTGCGCTCTCGAAACACTACTGAGGAAACTCTTGCTGAAAGTTGGGCTACGGGGATGACTGGATGCCCTACTCACGAGTACGACACTCATTTTTGACCACGGCGCAACTTATCGCCGATTTGTTGCAGAGCATTCTTGCACTGAAATCGTTGTCAACCCGCACGCATGGGCTGTTCAGATGCTGGCGTCAAATGGCCTCGGCGCATAAAATAAGTGTCAGAATCGTGAGCGGAAGCTAATTACTCCTGTATACGAACTTCCAGCAAAAAAAATTTCGGAGGTTTGATGATAATGGACCGACCACTTGGTTGGCAGTGGCACCCGATCAGCGCACCCAGCGTAACTGGTTCCACTTTATGTTCAGGTGTAGATATTGTGCTACATATAACTCTCCCTTTAAAACTTGCACAATTTGTAGTTGTCAATCATGAGTGCATATACTAGTAAATAGATCGGTCCAGTAGTCGAAGTAGGATAACGACACCTAGAGGATACTGATAGCCACCAGTTCAACAAGACCTATCATAATAACTCGAACAGCTCGAGGAAAAAAATTTCGCTGAATTTCTGTATATACGGGTTATTTATGACCCTGATCACGGTTCTGACCTTTATAAATAATGCCGAGGCCATTTCGCGCTAACATGGCTTTAGATCTTCCCCTAGATGCGATGTGGGATGCTCCGAGATCACTGCAATGCTACCTCACTGTGCGCCAAATAAAGAAATTCTCACCGTGACTTGCGTTGTTTCCGATGCAATGACGAATGTCTCATTTGCTATGCATACTCAATATTAAGAAAAGAGCCTAGGAAAATAATTCAAAATCGCTTCCTCCCCAGCAAACTTTTCACCATTTTTTGACCATTCCCAGAAACGCATAGCAAAAACGAAACCCATTTTTGTGATCCTTATATGGACCCCTACAACATGCAACAAACCATAAAAAATGCGCCACGACCTAGACCTCCCTAGCTAGAGTATACGCTTCTGTCCAGGATGTGCAGACGGCGAAGTCGCGAAGACCACGCAAACTTCACCAGGTCAAGGCTTCTAGATGAAGCGGAGAAAAGGCGAAGCCTCAAGAGAGCTAGGAGAAGCATAGCAGAGCATCGCTTGATGATCCCGTGTCTCAAAGCCGAGGATGGGATCTCGTTGCTCGTCGATACCAGAAATGGAGCGGATTCTGGCGACGTTCTATACCACTCTTTTCAAGTCAGACCTCCTCATTGAAACGCGTGAGAAATCGTCGCAAGATCGAAGTTCAGTTTTGCCTTTCCTCACATCGGAAGTACGCCATGCAGTCCAAACGATGCCGCGAGGGAAAGCACCCGGAAAGGACGGTATCACAGTAGAACTACTCCAGGCGTGTGGATCACCCCTTTATCAAGCCCTTGCCAAACGATATACTCGCTACCTGGCTGAAAGTGCGGTGCCAACGGCGTGGAAGCAGTCGTCGACGGTGCTGTTGTTCAAGAAAGGCGATAAGGAAGACCTGGCGAATTACAGGCCAATCACGCTTCTTCCAGTATTTTACAAAGTGTTCACTCGCTGTATACTGGCGCGCATACGAAGGGCGCTAGAAGAAGCTCAGCCGGTAGAACAAGCAGGATTCCGTCGAAATTTCAGCACGCTGGACCATATCGCAACCTGTCGTCGTCTAATAGAAGCAGCTCGAGAACACCACATGCCTCTTGTACTCACATTTGTTGACTACAAGAAGGCGTTCGATTCGGTAGAGCCAATGAAAGTTTGGGAAGCGCTAGAAGAGCAAGGAATTGAGAAGATCTACATAGACGTGCTGCAGGAATGTTACACCGATTGTACCACCACGTTCCGCCCTTTTTCCAACGATGTGGTAGTTCAATTGAGAAAGGTGTGCGACAAGGTGATCCGATCTCACCCAACCTGTTCTCCGCGTGTTTGGAATCCGTTATACGCCGTTGCGATTGGAGCAGCTTTGGATTGAACATTGACGGTACTCTTCTGAACCATCTTCGATTCGCCGATGACATTGTGCTGATTACTAGCTCGCCAGAGGAAGCTTCCGAGATGCTGGATCGTCTGGACCAAGAAGTAAGTCAGTACGGTTTATGAACACCTCAAAAACGAGAGTCATGCGGAACCGGAAAGGGAGCATAATCGAAGACGTTGAGGAATACGTATACCTCGGGAGTCAGCTAAACATGAGGAATGACTTGACCGGAGAGCTGACGAGGCGCTGCAAAGCTGGATGGGCAGCATTCAACTCTATAAAGAGCGTCGTGGAAGATACCAGGGATCACAAACTCCGTGCGGACCTCTTTAATACAACAGTGTTGCCTGCCCTAAGCTACGCAGGAGAAACTTGGGCCCTCACGAAAGCGCACGAAAACGGTTAAAATCTGCCCAAGCATCAATTGAGCGCCGCCTAGTAGGCCTGACGTTAAGCCGTCAACGAGAATTGAAACTTCACAACTCAGACGTCAGGAGCCATGTCGAAGATCAAGGACATTGTACTACGTTGACGAAGCAAAACATCGATTTGCTGGCCACGTGATGAGGAGAAATGACGGAAGATGGAGCTCTGCGACGATACGATGGTACCCGCGTGATAAGAAACAACCGCCGGCCCTTCTCTGCGCTAGGCAGCCTATCGCAGCAATGTACCGGTCGAGCGATTCGATCGCGCGATCGCGAAGTCTGAGCGCGCTCTTATGCGATAGTTGTAAAATAACAATGCGAGGGAGAAAATTCTCTACAAGTCCGCTCAGAGAATCGTTTCGCAAAATTAGAAGCTTGATTTGCGTTTATTGTCCCAAGACACATAAGCCGGTGCACAGAGCATTGCAAAGGGCCGGACTGCATCCTGACCTTCCCTGTTAAGCTGAAATAGATAGAGAAAAGTGAAATGACGATTACCAGTAAGTGAGGCTCCGGCGGAGGAGGTAACGCAACCGGAACAGCTAGATCGGCAGTCGCGAGCTCAGGACTGAGCACCTGACGCTGCACTATTAATTTATAAAACACATCAAATACATTCATACAACGTACTCTTTGCAATCGAGTCACCAGACGTTCGCGAAATGGTGATGGAAGTTCGGCAAGATGGTTATTTTCTGGCAAGCGGACTTCACCTGTGTCTAGATCTACGACTACGGCATCTACATTTGGTAGCTAGAGAGAAAGAAAATTCGAAAACTTGATTCAGGTTTCTAAGGTGATGGTCGTAACGAACCTTCTCTCTTACTTGTGAAAGCACACCCATTAGATAGGGAGTAGGACTTTCTAAATATTCGAGCAGCAACGCAGGCAGGGCTGTCACAAAGGTATACCTGCAAAAAATAAGGGTGCCTTCAAATTAATTTCCAAAACTGCCAAACCAAATAAATTAAGACAGTCAAGATGGAATCTCACGTGTACTCGAATGGGAATATCAGGGACTTTATAGCATATGCTGAATCAGACAGGCGCTGTTTGGAAGAGCTATGCAGTACAATTTTAGCATCACACAACACTGCTCTAACCACCGTTAGCAAATTATGAATAGAGCCTGCAAAACAGGAATGGAGAATAGGTCATTAAATCAAGGAATTTTATCAAGCAAAGGCTATTTAGAAAAATTGTTTCTGCAATTGCAAAACAAACCTAGACATTTAGCAAATTGTGCGACACGATCCCCCGTTAACGGGACCCGTCGTTGAAGAATAGGTTGCACTGATACCCGCTCTCCTCCCAGTGTGAAGCTAATGGGAGTTCTGAATAAGGCCATCATGAAGCACACAATAATAATAATAATAATAATAATAATAATAATAATAATAATAATAATAATAATAATAATAATAATAATAATAATAATAATAATAATAATAATAATAATAATAATAATAATAATAATAAATCTACTGGGCGCCGCCATAAGTATTTTCAACATTGGGTTCGAATTCCAATTTTCCTCTTTCAGTAGACCTGATCGTCGGGTAAGTGTGCCTCACACGGACACCAAATAGTAGTAACAGAAACTATTGAGCGCCGCCATAAGTATTTTCAATAAACGCCGCCATAAGTATTTTCAATATTTCGTTCCAATTCAATTTTTAGAAGAGCTGACCATCGGGTAAACGCGCGGCAGGAGTCATCGCTGCGCTGGAAACTAGGTCGCCGCACTAAAACGTGACGATTATCCCAAATCGCTAAAAAGAAGCATGGCTATTGTAGAATGATATTAACGGATTTCTGACCGCAGTAGTTTCGACAGCAGAACCACCTTTATATGAAGGTGATGGCACACTCCTGAAAAACGAGAAAAACTCAGAAATAGAACTGAATCAGTACGCTGCACACTGAGGTATTGCACTTGCAGCGCTCCTGTGCCAAATTGCGGACGAATGCCAAAACTTGTTCAAACCAGTACTCAGCGCGCGCGGTGACCTAGTCTCCAGCGCAGCAGTGACTCCTGGCGTCTCGTGATTTAACGGTTTCAGCAAGACGCGTGTTGCAGACCACCTGCGTCCAAAAGGATCAACACCTTTAAGGTAGATTGTAGCCTAGGAATGTAACTGGCAGACCAATGAAACAGCAATCGAAAAATGAGCATATTTGGACACTGCACTGACCGTATTGCGAGATAATGGCTTGATGTTTCAGCAAAAACAGAGTTGTCGAGCCAACCTCACCCTCAACTCCAGTCTTCTTGGGTGCTGGAATGCCTCCAGAACCTTCGGAGTAACATAAAAGACAACTACACAAATTAGTAACGTGTGATTATGACCCCCGGCCAATAGAATAGAGGTGAAAGGTGTGACCAGGCTCGAATTTGGAGGTGCGCCTACACTAAGTACAAAGGAAGTGGCGATGTGCCTCAGAACAGCACAAAGACGTTTAGAAAGAGCCATACTTGGAGCTAGGCTTTCGGACAAAATCTCATCCAAAATCCTACGCAGAAGGACATCGCTGAAAGATTGGGTGGTTTCGGCACTACAAAGAAAATGGTCCTACGCTGCGCGTCTCTCAAGAAGGTCCCCTCAAGACTCCTTGGGCTCGAGTGGCAACTGACTGGATACCACAAGGAAAAAGAGGTCTCGGACGTCCCAGAACAAGATGGCTGGACGACTTCGCTCGTTATACTGGAGCAAGGACCAGAGACATGACTAGAAGATGGACGACATTATTCACCGCTGCCGGTTCCTCGAGAATCTTCGCACAAATGATCAAAAACACTCTATTTGTGTCTGTGCGATAAAGAATAAAGTATAAGTATATATATATATATATATATATATATATATATATATATATATATATATATATATATATATATATATATATATATATATATATATATATATATATATATATATATATATATATATATATATATATATATATTATAATTCGCTTTGGTCTGTTTTGTTGGGGGGGGGGGGGGGGGGGGGGGGGGGGGGGGGGGGGGGGGGGGGGGGGGGGGGGGGGGGGGGGGGGGGGGGGGGGGTATGTAGTTGTAAGTTTAAAAGTTGTCCTTTCCGGAAATTGCGGGTCTTCGCCCTGATAGAACGACTGGAGATCCAGTCAAGTGGGGATAGGTAGGGCATGGGACAAGAAATAAAAAGCACACTTGACCTATGGCAAGCCCGCCCACAGTGGGCGGGGCACTCGCCGAAAGTTTGGGGTTCCGCAGAAAAATGTTCATAATTCGCTTCCGGAGCAGCTCAAAGATGGGGAAAAAAGGGACTAAGGTTAGTAAGGAGTCGCCAGACTAACGGGGGCAGGTACACTCTAAATGGGCGGGGCGTACTCAAGGTGGGCGGTGCTTCTCGCAAAATTCAGTAACCCGGTTCGCGAGTGTTTGGAAGTCGCAAAAAACTCAGTGTAGAATGTAAATATCCGGCGAATAGGGCACGCTCAAAGTGTGTTGAGACCCGCCCACAGTGGGCGGAGCTTGCCCTAAATCGCAGGGTATTCATTTTAAAAAGTTTGTAGCTCGGTTCCAGAACACTCCAAGATACCGGAAAAAAAGTGGATTAAGTTCAGCAGAGGGTCGTCGGTGAGGATTGTGGGGCAAAAACATTGTGGGCGGAGCCTGCTCCGAGGTGGGCGGAGCCAGACAAAAAAGGTCTGTAAAACGGTTCCAGAACACTCCAGACACCGGAAAAAAGTGGATTAAGGTCAGCAGAGGGTCGTCGGTGAGGATTGTGGGGCAAAAACATTGTGGGCGGAGCCTGCTCCGAGGTGGGCGGAGCCAGACAAAAAGGTCTGTAAAACGGTTCCAGAACACTCCAGACACCGGAAAAAAGTGGATTAAGGTCAGCAGAGGGTCGTCGGTGAGGATTGTGGGGCAAAAACATTGTGGGCGGAGCCTGCTCCGAGGTGGGCGGAGCCAGACAAAAAGGTCTGTAAAACGGTTCCAGAGCACTCCGAAGACCGGAATAAAGTGAATTCAGGTCAGCAAGGGGTCGCCGATTGAGAAATGTGGGGTATACATATTGTGGGCGGGGCCAGCCCGAGGTGGGCGGAGTCAGACGAAGAATCTGTAAAATAGCTCAAGAGTACTTCAGACACCGGAAAAAGTGGAGTACAGAACAAAAGGCGGATATCAGTTGAGTCTAGAAATATGTGAAAGAAAATACGCGCGGCGAAGCCGCGCCGCCCGGCGCAGCCGGGCCGTATCAGAAGGAGGCGCGCCGGCGTTAGCCGGCGAGCCGACTGGTAAGTTATATAGTCCGATTCTCCTCGTCTTAGCACCAGCCCATTTCGTTTCCTGTATCGCGCAGATGTCAATGTTACTTTACTTCAGCATGTCCATTAGTTCGGCAGAGCGGCCGGTCAGGATGCCTATGTTAAGCGTGGCAATCCAGATGGTCTAGTATGTGTATTTAACCTTTACGGAGGATTTCTTAGCTTGCATATCCGTGGACATCCTAGATAGTGTCAAAGTGCCAGAAGTTCCGCGCGCGACGCCGTGAATGGTGTAGGAACAGATGCAACCGGGATATGGTAGGGACGTACTTGTCTATGCGACGCGTTTATAGTGTGGCTTGCTTCTAAGGCGGAGTATGGAGAACTGCTTATCTCACGACTCTGGAATTCCATCCCCGCGCATGTTCAGGCGGGAAGGTATTCTGCTTCAACAGTCGAGGACTTGTTAGCCACGCATATACCAACGATGAATCTCGCTGGCGAGTGTGCATTTTGTCTTCAACACACATATAATTGGTTCGAACAATGATCATAATATTGATCACATGTTTGCATGTTTATCAGAAGAGATGAAAAAAGTGAGGCAGCAAAAGTGACGATATGCAGAAAGAGTTATGGAACATTCTAAAAATAATGATGCCGACTGTTAAAAAGTGAAGATTCTATTTACCTGCCGACTAACAATATTTTGCTAATGACTGTTGCGATCATCACTTCCGCCGCAGCTACATCATTTTGGATACCAAGGAAGATGTGATGAAGACATGTCTGAAGAGAAGCGCTTATTTACCCAATAATCAACACTGCAACGTTGAGTACTTACCCTAAAAAGATCAAAGTATGGATAACGGGAGAGGATTACGTATACTCGAGGTCGATACATAGAGCAGGAAGCATGAAACGTTTCGTCACAATCCTCGTCAGAACCATAGAAGCACGGTTCATACACCTGCAGTTGCGCTTTATTATGTGAGAAAAGCACAAAAAAGAAAACAGCCCAGATAGTGAATCCGTTCAAATAGGATATTACAAACGACAAAAGAGTAAAATGAGTACCTGAAGACAACAAGCATATTGATGAGCTCCCATAAGATCTGTGAGAGTGCACACGAAAAACGTCGGATCGAGTTGCTTATGAGCGAGACTCCATCCATGAGGAACACAGAACTAAAGGAACAACAGAAAGTTGCCAACATATATACAAGGTTGGTCGTTAAAGTTGTGTCACCTTTTCGTTGAACTTGAAAGTTGCCGCTTTCCTGATAAGACGTGAACGATAATATATTTTCACAAAATTAACTCCTTCTGTCGATACCATTCAGCTCTTTTCTGCACCTTACTTTTTTGGCAATGTGGAGAGCAATTTCATTAGGCAGCGCTCATTCTTCGCAACTGCAGCGGCATCACCGCGATAGTGGCTCATTCAGCTCTTTTCTGCACCCTACTTTTTTGGCAATGTGGAGAGCACTTTCATTAGGCAGCGCTCATTCTTCGCAACAGCAGCGTCACCGCGATAGTGGCTAACGCGGGTTGATGATCAAGCGCGCCCCAACGCTTAGTAGAACCGATGCAAGTGGGGGGAATCCCAAGGTATAAAGCCTTTATTAAGTATGTGATCTTTGCACTCTGGAGCCATGACTTTGTGAATTCAAGAAAATGCAAGGGTGGTCAAGGAAGAATTATTTACTACTTTCATTCTTGGAACCCAAAGAATGAGAAGGAGCGTGGAACGCTTGGTCTCTAGCATATCTTGTCACGTGTGAGGCCTCATGACCAGTCGCAGTCCAGTCACGTCAGTCAGTCCAGCTCAGTCAGTCAGTCAGTGCAGTCGCGTCACTAGCCGAGTCATCCAGTCCCAGTAATCAGTCAAACAACCACGATCAACCACACACACACACACACCACCACACCCACACACACACACACACACACACACACCGTTTCTAAGCGACAGTATCAACGAATTGTTCCCCACTGGCTTACACATTCGAAACGTAGACATTAGCGAAGGAGAGTACAGACGACCAGCCCACCTCCCGCTGGCCGGGGTCGCCACTAGGGAGCCGTCCTGTCTTAACCTGTCTTAACTTTCTTATCGGAGAAAATTCGGTTGACAGATATCTTGCCAACCGAAGCATTTCATTTGAGGCTCGGTATTTCGTTTTTTTTTAATTGTATAAAACTACACATGTGGCCAAAAAGTTACCTATTTGGGAGGGGGGGGGAAGGGATCGCAGTAAGACCTGCTTTCGAAAGTGGGCCGTAACTCTGCAAAAATTTACCACAAGATGACGTGCCCTTCCTCTAGCGCCGACAATGCTCCTTTCGACAGCAAGTTGTTTTCCAAACCAATTCGTTCCATAGAGAGAAAATTTTCACGAACCCAGCCCAAGTCGAAAGGGAAATGATGTCTAACTTTGCACTGCGCCAGGCTACACTGTGAGACGATAACCTCTACAAGGTGCCCGAACGCCGTTAAGGACGTTGACGCAAAACACTAGCGGATATGTTTGATCTTATACATTTCTCTAGAAAAAGAGAGCATAATTTCGGAAAATATGTCAGCACTTTCCCACCAGCAAATAATAAGAGAATAGAACGTTCAAAATACACAGTAAGTACAGGGTGGCCAAATGTATGAGCGCCAAAATGTTCCTCGATAAGCAGGAGCAGGCTGCCGCCCATCACCTCCATGCTGGCTAGCTGAAGACCAGTTCTCTTGATCTGTAAGACCTCCACCATCGACCAGCTCCCATCGCCGCTACGGTCCAGGATATCATCTTCACCGCAGTCGCCAAGGCGCGGGTTGATGGTATGGACCGGAAGCCGGGATGTGAAGACCGATATTTTCTTCGTGGACCCCGGACTGAAGTGAGCGCTGACGGTTACATCGACCAACTGGAGAATATCCTGCCTTCATGTCATCGCCTGTACCTTCTTGGAGACTTCGTACTGCTACAGGATTGGGTGCCTCCACACGGAATCGAAGGGCGTTGGAAAAACTCTCGCCTACTTGGAATGGAAGGGCGTTGAGTACCTGAAGAAGATGGAATATCTAAGTGTGTCACCTGACCTAAACCCCTCAATTACCCGGTTCGGGCGGAGCTCAACAGGGTGGTCTACAGTGGCGGAGAAATCAACGATCTCGCTGAACTCAGGTACCAATCACGGTCGCGTGGCAGAATCTCTCGATGGCGCTCGTCCAGAAGGCTGTGGCGGAGTATCATGATAGTGTACAATTGCTGTTGAATGTGGTGGAAATGTCCAATCAGAATTTGATAAAGTGTAACTTATAGCGCCTTGAAAGTCAAGGAAGAAAAATGTCTTTCCTGGCCCTTCTGTATGTCCATTTATAAACTACGGAGCCCTTGGTATTTTTGATAATTTGGACTTCATTGCTACTGCTACATGCTACTTCATTGCTTATCGTAGTTGACCGTGCTTTTTCTTCACGTCAGCACTTCCTTTAGTTTTTCACTGACCGCTATTTGTAAGCCAGTTTGAAGTGAAAGTTCCAGTTAGCAAGTAGTGGTGAGCTCCCTCCTAGAGCTGCGCAAGTCGTCGCTTTCACAGGTAAAGAACTGTCGCGTAACAACAACAAGTTAAAAAGTGAACGCACTGTGAACGAAGAAGTACAGAAAATCGCTACAAAAAGCCTCCGATGAAACTGCCCACTTGGCTTGAACACAGCAAAATCTAGGTAAGAAAGGTGCTCATACTTTCTGGTCACTCTGGATATCCCCATAGAGGCTTTATGGAACAATATATCAAAGTGTATAAAAATAGAACAATATTTTGAGAACCAAAGCAAGACTAACCATGGAGATACTGTTAGGGAATGGGACATCAGACCATTCATTGGTCGGAAGTCTTCGTGTTACCACGCCCACACTGCTTCCGTGTCCTAGAAAACATTAAAGTAGATGTTGCTCGCATGACTAGTAACTGCAGGCACTTACTAATCACAGGCACCATTCACTTACACCATTTTCACACCGTCGCCCTTTCTTTGAGAAATCATTCTCTAATCATTCTCAGAGAAAGCGTTTGTTGAACTCTACTGAAGTTACAACTGAGAATCAAAATATAAAAAAAATCCCCACAACTTCAAAACTTTGTTCCCGAAGTTGTCAAATGAACGTCGCGCAGCTTTCGGCAAAGATTTCCTGCGAGCATTTATCCAACAGGGTTGCAGCCAGTTTGAAGTATAGTAGTAGAAGGGGTATACATAATTTGTTCGTAAACCTTGCCTTGAGCTGTTTTGTTTGATAACTGCTGTTTTACGCCGCAGTACGCGTTGCGAAAGTTATCACAAGAATGCTGAGTTGTGTGCTAATAGCTTTGGTGCACAACTGTAGAGTAGAACATGGGACATCAAACAAAACAGCTCAAGGCAAGGTTTACGAACAAATTA